ACACACACACACACACACACACACACACACACACACACACACACACACACACACACATATATACACGCATATACATGCAAACAGGTGATATATGAGACTGAGGCAATTCCGGTGGAACCTTCTTTAACAGCCACCTGTCCAAGACAACCCCCATTATGAAACACTCCCGTTCCATCCCCCCCTTCACCTTTGTGGAATTTTTAAACTACCTACGTGTACACTATAAGACACTGTTCAAACCGTCCACAAGTCTAAAACAATTACTTTTCTCCTGAACAGTTCGGTAGTGGTCTTTTTTCTGTTTTCTATTCTGTTTTTTTTGGGGGTAAGCGTTTTACGGCGCTCGCAACTGCATATGGTCATATGAGCGCTCTGGACACACCTAACATTTCCAGTTGGAACACAATTTTGAATTTTGCTGGGTTGCGACCGAAGCCTACTCTTATCGATTTTGGACCACCAAGGGATCTATAACTTGCTATACCTGCTAACGTCACCTCCGAGCGCCCTTGTCCGAGAAGGCTAGGTGTAGATCTTTCCTGCCAGAAGGTCAGGGGTGTGGCTGAAAGAGAGCAGAAAGAAGGAGCCAAGGAGAAGCAGTGGAAAGGCTACAGAAAGAGAAAGGAGCCCAGAGGAGGGGGCAAAGGAGATGAGGGGTGGGGCCAGATAGTGGAAACGAAAGCAGACGACACAATACATGTATTGCTAGAGAGCAGGAAAAAAGATGAAAGGAGACAATTTAAGAGAAAAAATTTGTTCCGTCCCTACCTGGGTTCGAACCCGGGACCTTTGAATGAGAGGCGAGCATCGTAACCTCTACGCTACGAGAGCCCCCTGGAGGCGGTTTTGGACAGACACAATATGACTGTACATCATCATGGATTTTCAAACAACTTGGATTGTGTCATAAATGTTTGTGGGGTTTTTAAAAAAGTTTTTGTAAGAGCTATACGGCACTTGCAATACAATTAAGTCATTTCATTAGTACCGAAGATTAGAGGTTTTCTAAGAAAGCAACGAAGTCATCTAAAAAGGAGGAGAAATAAGAACGATAGATGTTTAATAGGTTAGAAGGAGCAGACCTCACCAGAGTACCCGCCAACCACCCACTTACAAATGTTGTAAGATCAGCTTACACTATTAGAAATTATAATTACGTCCTAAACATGACACCACGTTGTAGACACGAAGACAGGTGGCGTTGCTTACCGTCACAGAATATCCGTCTCCATCCACCCTGGGTACAGGATAAGACAAGAGTAAAAGGAAGTGGACTTTATATATAGTTCTCCGCACACTCGTGTCACGACACGGTAGAATCATGCGCTCGGCAATTTGGAGGCAT